CTCTGGCCTCGCTCTCCTCCCAGCCCAGAAGCTGGATGATAAAGGTGGTTGTGGTCAGAGATGCAGCCAGGGCAAGCTCAGTTGTATGGAGATACCCTCCCCTCGAGCCTGCTGCTTGTTGCAGAGCTTCTTGCCATCCAGCATTGCTAAAACCGTCCCTCGTTTTCCAGGGAAATAGGTCCTGTGAGTGGTCCTCTCTCTGTCACGGTTGTTCAGCCTCTTCCTGGTGTATCAAACCCCCTTTTTTCCCCTCTGTTTCCCCTCAGCACTCCCTGTTCTCCGCGTTCTCCAGGTTCGGGCCGCTGTTCTCGGTGCGGGCGCGCAGCAACGCCGCCGTGGCAGGGCCGGGGTGCTGCGGGGTCATCAAGTTCTACTCAGCTGGGGATGCCAGCAGGGCCCAGCGCGCCTGCAACGGGCAAAGGCTGTTTCAGAAACGCCCCTTGAAGGTAAGAGAACAGCCCCAGGGGGGGAACGTGCAGGACTCGGCCCCGCGAGCTCCCCAGCACGTGGAGGGGGCCAGCACAGGCCACAAAGGTGATTAAGGGACTGGAGCATCTCTCCGAGGAGGAGACACTGTGGGAGCTGGGCTTGGTTAGTCTGGAGAGGAGAGGGCTGAGAGGGGCTCTCCTCAATCCACACAAATGTCACCAAGGTGGTGCCAGAGGATGGTCCCAGACTCTGTTCAGTGGTGCCAGCAACAGGACAAGGAGCAATGGCCATAAACTAAAACACGACAAGTTCCACCTCAACATGAGGAAGAGCTTCTTTCCATGGAGGGTGGCAGAGCACAGGAACAGCTGCCCGAGGGGGAGGGGAGTCTCTCTGTCTGGAGACGTTCCAAACCCACCTGGGCACTTTTCTGTGGCACCTGCTCCAGGTGACGCTGCCTTGGAGAAGGTGGTCTCCAGAGGTCCCTTCCAAGCCTGACAGTTCTGTGATTCCGTGAAATACTTGATCTCAGCGGTGCAAAACCTTTACTAACTTGTGGCTGGGCACTGCCACTGTGCTGCCATCCCCCACTACTGGTTCCCAGGGAGCATTTAAGCAGGAAAATGGCAGCGTCCTCCCCCTGGCATAACAGGGTGGGCCTGTTCTGGGGTAAAGCCCAAGCAAATATTGAACCCAGCTCAGGAGCACACACAGGGCTGGGAATAGGTTACCTGAGGGTGGCTGTGCCAGAGCTGTCAGTGGTGTGGCTGGAGCGGGAGCCTCCCAAGCAGGGCCTGGCTGAGCAGGGTTCTTCTCTCCTGGGCAGGTTTGTGTTTGCCCCAAGCAGAGGGGGATTCAGCAACAAGCCCCTGCCCTCAGCAGCAACAAGTGCCAGGAGTTGGCCAACCACTACCTGGGCTTTGACGGCTGGTCCAGTCGCATCATCGCGGTGAGGGGCCCTTTGTGTTCGTCCGTCGTCCTTCCCCTCATCCCTCTCTTCATTGGAGGGGTTGGTGGAATGAATTGTCCTCCACTCAGCAAATAATAGTCAGCTACGAGAGCTGTGTTTTGGGCCGTGGATGGGGGGGTTTGGGCCATGGATGGGGGGGTTTGAGAGCCTGTGGGGAGCAGGTTGTGATGGGTGAGGGCACCGGCTTGGCTTCCGTTAGTAAAAATGAGGGGGGCCTGGCAGTGCTCTTTGTGTGCCGAGAGAGAGATGGCTGAGACTCCCAGAGGATGGGGACTAGGAGGTGTTTCTAAACTAGGATCAAACCAGCAAATCCCCCTGCTCTGTCTCCACCACCTGCTTCTGCCTCGGAACCACAGGCTGTGCAGAGAAGGTGTGTGGTTCTCAGGCATGGGCCTTAGTGGGCAGAGCCTTCCTATCCCCTTCATCTTTAATCAAAAGTGATTCTCTGTGCTCTTCCCAACAGCTGCAGAAGGTGTCTGCCCTTGATGGTGAGAATGAGGAGCTGGGACAGAGCTCCCAGCAGGGATCTGTGAAGTTCCTGTGTGCTCTGGAGCTGACGCTGCCCCAGCACGGGGTGTGCAGCAGGGGAGTTGCCCTGGGCCAGGCAGCCGTAGGAGATGGGCAAGGTGGGCTTTGCTGGGCTTTGGGGGCAGTGCAAGTCTCTCCCAGCAGCTGTTGCAGACACTGGCCAGTTCTGCTTTTGCACAGTTGATGGGATCCTGAACCTCTCCCCTCCCTGCTTCCCACCTTTCCTGCCCCCTGTTGTGTCCCTCTTGCCCGCGGTGTTATCCATTCCCTGGCACAGCCACTCGGGAGCGTGTCCTGGGCACAGTGCCTGCAGTGCCCTGCCCAGGTCAGTAACATGCTGCTGTTTGTGTTCAGATCCCCTGGAGCTCATCACAGCCACGAGAAGAGCTCAGAAGCTCGCGGTGGGGAAAGCTCTGTCTGGGGCCTTCCAGAAGATCCTCCTCGTAGTCCTGGGTAAGGCTGGGGGGTTGTGTGAAATGTTTGGGCTGATATTAGAACTTCTGTGACCATTGATAGAGGTTCTTTTTGCCCTGAGCCTTTCTTGGGGCTGGAGGGAGCAAAACTAAACTTGTGCTGTGTTCTGTAGTGGTTTAACAGAGAGGTTCCTCCCTGTGAGCTGTGGGAGTGAAAGGGAGATCCGACAGGAGGACGGATGTTTTTATGATAAATAAGCCATTGAAAGTCCACATTCCAAGGGTCTAAATGGTGTTAGGGAGAGCTTTTTGCCGCTCCACATGCATGCTGAGTGGGGATGTGAGGCAGGGGTAACAGGAGCTGAACTGCAGCCCTTTGGATGTTGCTGTCCTGGCCAGGAGAGAAGCAGAATTGTCCCATTTTTGAAGTTCAGGGGAGGTTCATTGTCGTTCCACACGGCAGTAACCACATCTCTGGCTGTTCACTGTGTTTCAGAAAATGGGAAAGTGGCCGTGGAGTACAATTCCTGCCAGGAGGAGCCCACAGACTCCTTAACAGAAGAGGAACTGAAGGGGCTTGTTCAGGTAAAAGTGGTGGATATTTGAGCTTTCCCACAGGGCCTATGTGTTCCACCCGTTGGCTGTGACAGCCTCCAGCAGCCTCCTTGGATGCAGCAATGACCTCCACTTAAATCCTAGGAAGGAATTGCATCTTGGAATTGTGCAGCAGGCTAAGGTTTTTAATCTCCTACGTTTTTGGCTGTCTTTGTGCAGAAAGGCACATGGGATGTAGATGGGACAGGAAAACAAGGAGTACAGGGCTGTGACAGTGCAGCCTGGCAGACCTGACACGTGACAGTGTCCAGGGCTGCTCTTCATGGAGTCTGGGGGAGTGAAAATCCCAGGAAAGCCCTCGATGGTGTGGAAGAGCAAGTATGTTCTAGAGAAAGAAATTTACTCTTGATTTCCCTTCCCAGGTCAATGAATTGTCCTTGGAACAACTTGACCTCGAAGAAGAAGAAGTTTTGTCTGATCTCAGTTTGGATGAGGAGCCATGAAATGCCCTGTTTGCTTTTCCTCCAGATGCCCAACAGGGAAAGAAATGGGCAATAAACCCTGTGTTGCTAAAAGTAAGCCCCCAGATACGTGCTGGTTTTGGAGAGGAGGTGTTTTGCTGTCAGCCTGCTCAGGTCAGCTCTCTCTGGAAGCCAGCTTAGCTGCATGATTTGTGTTTAGACAGGACAGCAGGTGTGAGCAGCACTCCCAGGACAGCCAAAGGAACAAGCTCTCCCTGCAAGAGCCCTGTACAACTCCGGGTCACTCTGATCCATGGGAGAAAGTCTGGGATGGAAGATGTCTTAGCAGCAGGAGGAGCTGTGGGGCTGACCCAGCTCTGCACAGGCTCAGGAAAAAGCATTTCTCTAAGTGCAAATTGTTTTAAATAAAGTTACAAAGTCTCGTAAGAATGTGTTGTCGTGTGTGGAACCCCAGCTAGAAGCAGTGGGGACGTTGTCATTATGTAGAACAAAGATTGTCATTTCAAACGGGTTTTTCATTAAATTAAGTCAAATTTTGCAGTGTGGTGTGGTGAGTGAACCTGGGAGGCAGCACAGGCAATGGGAAGGGGCATCAAGCACACCAAGTCGTGAGGTTGGGGATGCCTGTTTGATAACAAACCCCTGCCCAGAGTTTTTGACCTCTCCTTGTTAAAAAAGGGTGATTGAAAACTGAGAGAGCTCAGGAAAGAGCCACAGGAATGATGTGAGATCCCTCTTGAGGTGAGAATGTTGCCTGTTTAAGTAAGAAGAGAAGAATGGGGGGATTTGCTGCAAGAGAAATCCACTGCTACTGGCTGAGCTTACGAAGGTGAAGCAAAGTGCAGTGGCTGGAGGATGAATTTGGAGAAATCCAAGTGGGAAGATGCAGCGTTTCACATGGGGAGAGTGTTTGGATGGACCGGCCTCCATGGGATGCAGTAAGTCCCCTGTTGAGGCAAGTTCTCGGGTGGAGATGGTATTTTTGTATTAAATTGCCTTACAAATGTATGAAAATATTTTATTCTCACACTTGCCCAGTGTGTGCTCTCCCTTCTGCTCTGCTCTGCTGAGACCCCACCTGCCTCCAGCGCTGGGGTCCCAATAGGGGAAGGACAGGGAGCTGCTGGGGTGAGTCCAGGGGAGGCCACAGACCTGGTCTAAGGTGTGGAAGAGCTCTGCTCTGAGGAGAGGCTGAGCTGGGGCTGTTCAGCCTGGAGCAGGCTCCGGGGAGAGCTTCCAACCCCTTCCAGTAACTGACGGGGCTCCATGAGAGCTGGAAAGGGACTTTGGAATGCCAGGACAAGGGGGAATGGCTTCCTGCTGCCAGAGGGCAGGGTTAGATGGGGTATTGGGAAGAGATTCTTCCCTGAGGGGTGGGGAAGCCTTGGCACAGGTTTTCCAGAGAAGCTGTGGTTGCCCCATCCCTGGAAGTGTTCCCAGCCAGGCTGGATTTGGAACAACTTGGGATAGTGGAAGGTGTCCCAGGCCCTGGCAGGAGGTGGGATGGGCTGATCCTTCAGGCCCCTTCCAAACCAGTCCATGGTGGGGTTCTGTGGTGTGGGTCCATGACTATGACACAGTCTCTTGGTGGCTGTGCTGTGGCACAGCCCTCTGTGACACGGCAGGCCCTGGCAGCGCCCCGGCCTTGCTTGCCCGGTGCCCCCAGGCCGTCATGGTTCACCATGGCACTTCTCACATGCTCCATGTGCTCCCTGCTCCTGCTGGCATTGCTGCTGGCAGCGGCTCCGTGCCCGGCTCAGGCTGGGAAGCCCTTTGGACACCGATGCAGCTCCCCACGGCAGGGGCTGCTGGACTGTCGCCATGCCGGGCTGACCACTGTGCCCCCGGCCACCAGCACGTGGCCCCTGGACATGCTGTGAGTGCCCACTGACCACAGAGCCCTACAGAGCCCTGCTAGGCCTGGCACGGCTGGGAACCCTCCCGACAGCCTGGCATGGCTGGGAACCCTCCCGACAGCCTGGCATGGCTGGGAACCCTCCTGACAGCCTGGCATGGCTGGGAACCCTCCTGAGAACCTGGCGTGGCTGGGAACCCTCCCAACAGCCTGGCATGGCTGGGAACCCTCCTGAGAACCTGGCAGGGATATGGCAGCACAGACTGGCTGGCTCTGGGGGGCTCGTGCTGCAACCCCAGGAGGGGAGCCCAGTTGGCCATGCTGTGGCATTTCCAGGCAAAGCCCACTTCTACCTCAGCAGCTGAATTTCCAGGGAAAAGGGTTTTCCTGAGGGCTGACGGTGTCAGTTGTTTCTTTGCAGGGATTTCACTGACAACTCTATTTCGACCTTGGGACCGCAAACGTGGAAGGAATACCAGTGGACTGAGACCTTGTGAGTACCATCCAGCATCTCAAATGTCAGGAATTCTGGTCTTTCCCATCCTTTTGTCCAGTGTTTGAGCACCCACACAACCCATTTCCATGGGAATTCCGAGCTGGGCTGCTCAGCAAGGAGGGCTGTGAATGCCCAGGGCCTCATAGGATAGCAAGAAATGCCATGAGCTGTGTCCCATCCCACGGGATCATCACTGTGGCTGTTTGCCCAGGGATCAGGCTACGCTCAGCTTCCCCTGGCCAGGAGCAGGTACCTGCTGCAGCCATGAGTGGGGACGATCCCTGCAGTGCCCCAAAGCCATGTTCCAGCATAGCTGCTGTAGGACACCTTTCCATGACAACTCCAGTTGCCCCTGGCGAGCAGCTGGTGTAACCAAGTCTGTTTGTGTCCTCCCAGAATCCTCAAGGACAACGAGCTGCAGGCAGTGAAGAGCCGTTCCCTGGAAGGGCTGTTCCTGCTGAAGCACCTGTAAGTACAGTGGGCTGCTGCCTCCCCCTCCCTTGGGCCCCTGCTGCTCAGCCCAGCCCAGCCAAGGGGGCTTTATCCCTCCTGGGGCAGGAGGCTCAGGTCAGATCAGAGCTGGGGAACACAGATGCTGCCGGTGCCAAAGGAAAGGAAAGACAACGGTGCAAATGGAATTAATGTTTTGTGTTCTCATTGTAACAGGGATTTATCTGGCAATAACATCAAGTCCATTGAGGAACATGCCTTTGAGCCACTGCCTTTTCTGGAACATCTGTGAGTTATAAAAGTTTCCTCCTAGTGTGTTGAATGAAGGCTTCTTGCGTGGATGAACCCTTCTGTGTTAAAAACAACAGGAGCATTTCCTAGAACAGTGACACTTTCCCCTGCTGCAAGACAAAGGGAAAGGATTCATTTCCGTGATCTCCTCTGTCCCCAGAAACCTGTCTGGGAATCAGCTCACCCTGATCCCCAGTGGTGCTTTCGAGGCCTGGCATGGGATGCAGTTTCTGCGGGAGCTGTAAGTGGAACAAGGTCTGAAGGCAGATGGGAGCAGACCCCGCAGAGGCAGAGGGGCAGAGCAGCTTTGCCCCCCACAGCTCACATCCTTCCCATCCACCCTCACAGCCCTCTGCTGTTTTTCCAGGATCCTAAGCCATAACCCCCTGACCCTCATAGCTGACACAGCGTTCTTCAAGCTGCCTTCGATCAACTATCTGTAAGTACTGACTCGTTTGGACCAGACTGGTGCAGAACTTTGTCTCTCTGCAGTGCCCTGTTCTCAGGACAGCAGAGATCCAGCAGCAAATCTCCCTGTTCTCCCAGCCTTTTGCTGCTGGAGGCCAAAATATCCCCAGCAGCAGCAGAGCAAGGCAAAGGCCAAGCAGTTCTGGTGTGTCCCCAGCTGCAAAGACCCAAGGAATTGGGATACAGGCTTGAAAGGACTAGAGGCTGAGCAGGTCTAGAGCCTTGGAATGGCCGGTGGGGTCTCACGAGACCTGCAGGATCCCCTGCTGATTCAGAGCCCATGGGGAGGAGCAGGTCAAACAGGGAAATGGCGGGCTTTTGAATCCCTTCTGTTCGATTGGGAAGAAGTGGATCCCTCTGCCAACACCACCAGCATCATCAGGGACCCAGACTTGTTCTCAGAGCAGTGTTCTGGCAATGTCACCTGAGAATTTAACGAGGTCCTTCCAATCCTTGCAGGGACCTGAGTGCAACGCAAGTGTCTGCACAGACACTGCTCCTGCTCCTGCAGACAACATCCCATCTGGAGACACTGTGAGTAGGTGGGACTGAGTGCCAGCTTGGACTGGGAGTCATGGATTGGGATACCAGGTTTTCCAATAATAACCTCTTGTCTTTAGCAAAGTGCCCCGTGCTGTGTCCTGCTGCCTCTGCAAGGAACATGGCACCATTGAGACCCCGTGCAGGACCATCCAGTTCTTCTGTGAGAGCCTGTGTGACACCAGCACTGCCCAGTGTGGTAGGAGTCCTGACCGTGGGGATTGCCCTTCAAACCTGCCCCCTTTTGGGGGGTTCCCAGGCAGCCTTGGCCACCTCCATGGCATCGGTCCAGCCTGGCAGCTCCCAGCCAGTCCCGGGGACACTAAACCTGGGTGGCCTCTCTAGAGGAGCTTCAGCCCTGTGAGGCCTTTCAGTGAGCCTAAAGGCCAGTGCAGGCAGCTCAGGTGAGACCTGGGAGGCCTTGGACTGTGCTCCCCCTGTGTACCTGCTGCCCGGGGCAACCTGTGCCCCTGTTTTTGGCAGAAAGCTGCTCGAGATGCCGAGTCGCTGATCTGCTCTCCTGATGTTCTCCCACAGGTTCTCCAGCCCAGAAACGGGCAGGAATAACGGGAGCAGCACAGCCTGGACAACTCAGAAGCAGCTCGGTGCTGTACATCAAACCCAAGGACATTCCCCCAGCACACCATGGATCCGTGACGTTTGCAGTTGCTCGGAAGCAGGCCAGCACCAGCGGTGACCTCAGCAGCCAGGGAGATTCCCGAGCAGACTCCTATTCCTCCCAGCACCTCTCCAGCCAGGGAAGGAAAGCCATCGACGAGCTGCTGGTGAAGCTGCACAACATTCAGACCAGGGGCTGGACCGGAGACGTGGACAGCAAACCTGATTTTCTGGCAGAGCAGCTGGCGGCTGAGCTCCAGAGCCAGCAGCCCGATGCTCAAAGCACCCTGGCTGTGGCAAACACCGTCCCACAGCAGCCAGCGCCCGCCAGGCGCAACGTGCAGAAGTTCCCAGCAGTGGAGGGAAAGCAAACCACAGGCTGGGAGCAAAAGCAGCTCGAGTCAGGCTTGAACTGGCCAATCTTAAACCACTGGGACGTAGCTGGTGGGTCAAACCCCCCGGATGACAACGCTGCCTTCGGACATCACGGTGCAAAGGAAGCAGCAGCTCCCCGGAGGAGCTCTGTCCGGGTGTACCAGCGCAGGCAGAGGGACACCGGCTATCAGCTGCCATACAACCCCCTTTTCTACGAGGTGTCTGGTGATGTGCAGGGAGAGGAAGAGCCCACGCCAGGAGAAAGCGAAGGTCTAGACAGAAAGCCAGAGAATCTCTTGGACCTGTGGCTCAAGAGCCACCCTGAGGACAGCGCTGAAGAAGAGCGTTCCTCTCTCGGGGAATCCGGGAAGGAAGGAGAGGCAAGGTCCAGGCTTGCCAAGGAGGCAGGAGGCTCCCAGAGCCCCGGCCGTGCTCCAGCTCCAGCAGAGCTCCCCGAGGCCAGGGTTGAGCATCCCCTGCACTCCGGGGTGCCGGACGAGGCCCTGCGGACGTTCATCGCCCGCGTGACAGAAGCCCTGAGCGCAGAGTGCAGCCAGCTCGACCTGCAGCTGCTCTGTGCCAGGATGGTCTCCGAGGCTGGGCTGCTGGCAAAGAGGCTCAGCCCAAGGCAGGACAGCCAGGGAGTCTCTGCTCTCACACGGCAGTGTCTGCAGCTGGCCTTGGAGATGGGCAAGGAGTCCGCAGGAAAGGTAGGAGAGCTCCTGGGCACTGCTGCATGTGCCTCTCTGGGCAAGGGGCAGTGGAAGGAGCGAGCCTCTCTCCCCTCCTGATTTGCTCTCCTTCTCTCCCAGCACAATGCAGGGCTCAATCACTCCATAGTCACCAGGCTATTGGTGTTTGTTATCATCATGATTTTTGCCATCATCTTCGTCCTCATCATGATCATGTTATATTTAGTCCAGGTAAGCCAGAACCTCCCTTGCCAGCTGTCAGTCAGGCCTGCAGTGCCCAGCTGAGCCCCAGGGGGATGTGGATGCCTGGGCTCGTGCTGGGGAGCACCGGAGATGTTTGTGCACCCCTGGAGCTTGTGGCAGCTCCACATCCCCCGGCTCAGCAGGGTTCAGCCTGCTTGGAGGGGGCTTGTCCTGCCCTCTCTGCTGACTATGCACAGCTCTGCTTTGCTCTCTTGCCTTCAGCCTTGCAGCAGTGCTAACAGGAGAGCTCTGGGAACCCAGGTCATTCCAGAGACAGGGAAAAGCAGGAAACAGGGAGGAGAGGGCTCTCTAAAAATGTGGCTGTTTTCACAGACTTGCACGTGTATAGAGCAGGGTGGGTGGGAGGAAGAACCTTTTGGCCTCCCTTGCTCTGCAGAGAAACACAAGCCAACTGTGATGTTCCAAGTGTCTCTTCTTCTCCAGACTCACTGCTGGGAACGTCCTGAGGATGTTTGGCAGGACACGGTGAAATCCCCCCTGAGCAGGTACCTGCCCCCTGCCCCATGGCCCCACTGTGCCAGGAACCATCCCCACTCTGAACAGCAGCTCCTCCCCAAGCCCCCCGGCCGCCCTGGTGCCAGGCACCCACCAGTCTGTGTTTAACACACTTTGCTTTGGGAGAGACCCAGGAAAGGGACCCCAGAGCGGGAGCGATGGGCACGGCCATAGGATCCCATCCCACCCAGCCCTGCTCCAGCCCGGTGCTGAGGGGCAGGTCTTGGGCTTCTGGGGTGGTCCCACATCCCTGTGACCACGAGGAAATAGCTCTGGGCTCCAGTTCCCAGCAAAACTCTCCTCTGGTGATGGCTCTGCCCTCTTTCTGCCTGCCCCACTCCTGTCTTCTGCACATGCCTTTCCCATCAAGGGCTCATTGCCAGCCACAGCAGCCAATGCCATCCCTTCCCTCTGGGACACCTGTGCAGCCCTCCCCCTGGCCAAACCTGGTTATTTTCCCGTTTTATTTTTTGTCAGATTCTTTGAGAAGCTGCGATACGGAGAGCTCAGGGACATGCTCAGCTGTGCATTTGGCGGAGAGGGCGAAGAGCGGGCAAGGAACGTGCGCCAGGGCTACCCCTCTGCCTGCTGTCCCTCAGCTCTCCAGAGCGTTCCCGTCGCTGGTGGCCCCACAGAGGACACCGGTGAATTCGAAAAGTTTGAGGAGAAGGTCATGCTCCTCATGGAGCAGGACTCTCGGGCGCTCCGGCTGTACGACTGGCACAGGCAGAGACGGGACAACGCGGAAGCTGAAGCAGCGGGGGAGAAGTGAGTGGGGTGGCAGAGATATCCCCCCTTGTTCTGCAGCCCTGGTTCTACACAGGCTGGGCCGGGCCTTTCCTTGGTGGTTATTTCCTTGCTGTTCTTTCGCAGCGACTCGGAGCAGCAGGATGAGTGAGGGAATGTCACCAGCTGAAGACGAGATCCCTCAGCCCAGTCCCTCTGCTGCATCCCAAAGCCCGGCACAGCCCCCATAGAACCCCATAGGCCCCATGCCCCCATAGGCCCCATAGACCCCCATAGGCTCCATACCTCCATAGGCCCCATAGACCCCCATAGGCCCCATAGCTCCATAGGCCCCATAGACCCCCCCATAGGCTCCATATTCCCATAGGCCCCATAGACCCCCCATAGGCCCCATAGACCCCCATAGACCCGATTGACCCCCATAGGCCCCATAAGCGTCATAGACCCCATAGGCTTCATAGACCCCCCTAGGCCCCATGGACCCCCCTAGGCCCCATAGGCTTCATAGGCCCCATAGCCCCAACAGTCCCCATAGCTCTCAAAGCACCCATAGCCCTCAGAGCCCCCCTAAGGCCCCATAGCCCTCCCAAGCCCTCCGAGCCCCCATCGGACCCCAGAGCTGCCAGTCCCGATCTCCCTCAGAAGCCTCCGCATCCCTCCCAGCCGTGGAGCACCCGTTTTGTTGTTCCAAGATAAAAGTGTCTGAAGGATGCCGAGCTCTGAGCCTGTGCTGTGGAGCCCTGGGGTGGGCTGGGGAGGGGTTTGGGGTCCCTCGTTAGGAGTGCAGGGATCACAGCCAGGGCAGGTGTCCAAGGGGAACAGCCCATCTGCTGCCGCTGCTTTGGGAGCATTTCAGGGTGATTCGAGGACTGAACTGAACTTGGGAGAGAGAGGAAAGATTGATCGGAGAGTTGCTCAAGTATTTGAAAAGATCAAGTGGGAAACCCCCACCCAAGGACTTGTTCGCTCTGGGCTGCTGCTCTGAGCACATGGGGTCCCTTCCAGAAGGGGGATCCAGGAGAGCTGCATGGAGAGGCACACTCATCCTCGAGCTGTGGGATGTTTGCAACTGTTGGAATGGGTTGTTGTGGTGCAAACTTGAAACGCCACACCAAGAGCAGCTTCTCCACAAGGTCTCTGCCACCGAAACACTGCTTTGCTTTTTGTATGTGTGAGATTCCTGTGGACCAGCATTTACCTGCAACAGTGGTAACTCTGTTTCTAAAATCAATATTTGGTAATTCCGTGGCTATTTCTAAAATCAGTATTTGGTAATTCTGTGTCTATTTCTAAAATCAACGTTTATGAAAGCACGTTTTTCTACACGTGCGTTTGTGTTGGGTGAGAGGAAGGTAAACACACAAATAGTATTTTGAAGACTTCCTCCAGGATAAGAACTGTTGTGTTTGTTCCCGACTGTTTGTAAATATTCCATTCTATTTGTAAATAGAGGTGTCATTTTCCGGTGAATATAACTGATTAGCTGTAGAAGTCTTTGGGGACAGAGAGGTCCTTTAGGAGGCACCCAGCTGTCCTGGGAACTTCTATCCCAGCTGAGACCAGCCTGTTGTATCAATGAATGACATGTTCACAAGTAGTGAACGATCAACCAGTTGATCAGTAACTTTTTTTAGAATCTTTTGGATTTTATATTGATAATCATTTCCATCCTATGGCAATCCTGTTAGCCTGAATTCTGTTGTGTTTGGTACTTGAAATAAAGCTGTATGGTTAAATAAATGGCCTGAAACTTCTCCTTTTCCCTTTCAGTACATCAGCAGGGATGCTCAATTAAAACAAAAGGATGGCTGTGGAGGAATACATACAGAGTATTATAATAACCATTTCATAATTCCAAATGGATACATAATTTGTGGCATGAGCAGGGCCTGTTTAAAACCCTGCCTGAGGCAAAGGTTCATTTCCAAGTGCACTGTTCACAGAGCTCCTTGTAAGCACTGGAGATGGTACCAGCTGGTCCCCCCTCAGCCTGTGTTTGCTTGTCATGATTGGATGTGGCAGGATGGTTTTTCCAACGAGATCAGTCACCCGGTGTTTCTGAAACATCCCCCTGTGCTGGCCAGATCTGCCTGCTGAAAACAGCTCAGGAGCTCATCAGCTCTTCCAAAAAGGGAGTTCCTCCTGCACAGATGACCTCTTGGCTTGCTCCACATCAGCACTAAAATGAAATCCAAACCACGTCTTACTGGGTGACCGAAGGCTCAGAGTTAAAAATTGTGACTCATATATTTTTAAGCACATTAATAACGCTACATTTACCCATCTGGATTCAGACAAGTTGCCTTTTTTCCTCCCTGGCTTGGCAATGGACTGTTCAAGATGTGTCTTTTCTCCACACGGAGGAACAAGGTAGACGAGATGAACCAGGAGGGAAAATTCAGCCTAAAAAAACGTGGATGATATCTTGGAGCTGTTCAGCAGGAGCCAGTGAGATATCCTAAATATCTTGGTTTGTAGCACAGAGAAGGCTGCCTACAACCCAAACCTCCTCTGTTTGGTGTCCACAATTAAAAACACTAAAACAAAGGCAAAAAGGACACTAAAAAAACACTAAAACAAGGGCAAAAAGGAAATCCTGTATCCTCTATTATGCACAGTGGCAGAGGAGAAGAGAAAATGGATGAGAGAAGCTGGATGCTGCAAAGACAAATGCATCATGACTGGGGAGAAGATAGGGAAGAAGGATCTGAATAGGCTTTGGGGGAGCTGAGAGCAGGCAATAAGTGCCACCTTCTGGGGCAGAGAGGCTAGTGAAATCCTGCAGAAGAGGAAACCATTGCCATCAAGAGAAGCTCCTAAAGCTTCAGTGGGGCTGTCTATTATCAGGCATAATAAAGCAATGAATATTTAAGTGCCAAGGGAGAAGAGCTTTGTGAGGGAAGGGGTGAATTCCCCATGTCCTGGGATATTAGGTCAAGATGATGCCCTGCTGGATGAGGAGGGTTAACTCCGAGCTCTGTTCTGGGAAGAACTGGGAAAGGTGGAAAAGCCTTGGCTCCAGAGCCTGCTCAGACAGGAATCACCTGAGCACACAGCACCGTGGGTGGGATTGCAGGATCTCCCTATTCCTGCAAACCCACTGACCTGGTTTGGTTTCCGTGTCACTGGAAAGCTGAACCACAAGCAGGGTTGCCCACATATCACATTCTCCTCCTTATGCAACTGTTCCAAAAACACAAAGCAAACACAGACACACCTCCTACTACAGACTGGGCAGGATGGGGGAGTTTCGCTTTTTCTTTTTAGGCACTCGATTTTTTGCACTGCAGGGCAAAGTAAATGTGGGTCCATTCCTTTCTCTTCTAATCCAGACCCCAAACAGCAGCATCTTCTCAGCTTTCTCCTTCCCCTGAAACTCGTGGCTTATCTTGCACCAAAAGACCAGATGGGAATTACACCTTCCAGCCCATCCCTGTTCCATTACCTCAACACGGAAAAGCCATTTCAGGACGGTGATTTCATGATGCATCTTTGATGGGGGATAAATTATTAAAGCAGAGTCATAAAAAATGAAAGACATTTTACACGGGGAAGGAGTCCTGACAGTAACCCAGATATGTCACAAAAACTGACTGCCACCAGATAGGAAAACCTGCCCCTTGCCAGAGCAAAAGAGGGTAAACTATGAAAGATGCATGAGGGTAAAGGGAGGAATGAAGTGACTGGAATGACAGAGTGGGAGATAAACACACCGAGGTAAGGGGAACAAAAGAGAGAAGACAATGGAGGAAAGGGGGAGTGAATGGGGGTTAAATAATTCAGGGCAGGATTTATAACAGCCTTGAGCACGAGTCATCTAGGAATCACTGCTGGGGGGGAATCAACCCAGCCCAACGTGTTATTCACGGGTTGAAAAGAGCTGTGGGATGTTCTGTGCCATTTGGACAGACCTTGGCTGGTGTAAATCAGCGAGGAGTCCATCCAGTTGTGGGCATTTGCACCTTCTGAGGATGCAACCCATAAACACAAGGGCAAATTCAACAATTCCAGCAGTTTTGGCCACTTTTCACCACAGATGGGCCTCGAATCCTAATGAATCCCCCTTGGGTCCTGCCCCGGTCTTGGATGGGATGTGTCTGGGAGCTCCCCCCACCCACTGAGCTCCTCCTGTGCTGCCTCATTGAATGGAAATATCCCATCAGATAAGGAGCTTTGCACCATTAATCCCTGCTCGTGCTCCCAGAGCTGCTGGGGGGCAAAGCATCTCCTGTGAACTTTCTACATCTCCTCACCCCCGGGCCAGGCTTCTCCCCGAAAAATCAGCACATGTCCTCAGAGCTGTGAAACCTGGGGCCTGCAAGAGGTGACATCCAGCCTGAAACACTCTGCTGAGCACTTTAGTCTTCTTTTCCAGCCCTGTGCTCCTCTTCTCCAGGGAATACGTCCTCCCTGGACCAGTGTTATCGCCCAGCTCCTGGAGGGGGGAACAGCAACCTTTGCCTCCTGCCCTTATTTCCCTCCATCGCATTAATTTCTAATTTCCTTGCTCTAAATTTCTGGTCTCCTCTGTTGCTCCTGTTTCAGCCTTGGTTTTTCTTGCTTGGGGGATTCCCTCCTCCCCCTCAGCCTTGCACATTTGCACCACTGCCACAAAGCACTGCTGAGGCTGGAAGGATGTGCCACGTGCACCACAGATAAAAGCAGGCATGCAAAATTCAGCAGCGTGGAATTAAGCTTGCTGGTGGGAGGATAATTCCTATTAATCACGTCTATTACAGTAATACCCCAGGATAAGACCAAGATTTTTGAGCAGGGCACAAAATTAGGGAAGGACCCAGCTGCAAAGACTTTGCAATCTTGAAAAGAAAAGCATGGCAGGAAATTGTCTGGGCAGTGCACTGAGTAACTCGATTAATTGTGAGAGGAGGAGGGCCCTGAGTAGGACAGATTATGTAGGGAAAGAAAAGCTAAATGGAACAAGAAATGGAAGGAAGCAGGAGCCTGAGGAGAGCAGTTAAACCAGGAGGAAGGGGAGAGAAATATTAGCAATGGAAACAGAATCTGCCAGGACACAGAAATTGTTGGGTTTTCATAATAAATGGAAAATATTCCAGCTTGTGGCAAGATGAATTTTTTGGGTTTTGGTTTGTCTGAAATATTGTGCCCAGTTTGGTGGGAAAACATACGTGGCTACTTATGGGTTACACAAATGTTTTCTTCTGCCTTGATCTGGGTCACCACTTAAATTGACTCTGCTGCTTCAAAAGCTACCTCTGTGAAATTTCCCCTTCCTACTTCAGACACATTCCCCTACATTTTCCACTGGTGAAATGAAAGGTTGTTCCTGCTCTCACCTTCAGGGAGCTGAAGAGGCAGAAAAAATGTCTGTATTTTGGTGAATGTTTGGGTTGGGTTTTGAGCCGCCTCCCTGAAAATCAGATACTGGTGGGAAAATGATCCTTTTTTTTCCTAAGTTTTCCTCCACGGATGTCTGGGTTACTACAAAGAATTGTGCACAGATAAGGTCCTTGGCTGACTGGATCTATGGTGGGCACCTCTGATTCAGAGATAAGTGGTGGGCTCTAAGACATCAGAGAGCAAGAGCCAGGTCCTGCTTTCCTGGGACACCAGCAGCTCCAGGGAACTGGAGCAAAACCTCCTGCAGGCAACCAACTGGCACTGGAGCTTTGGACTGGTGTCCTCTCTAATAACTGTGCAATCATTGTAATTATATACCAAAAAAAAGTTAATTGCTTAATCATGGACCCTTCAGCTACCGAGCCAGGCAATTATTCCCAGGCATGTAATCTCCAGCTTTTGTGTTGAGGAGTTCATTAGTCACTATTCACATCTTCTCAGAGGTGCTTTGCAATGGTTCAGCGATTGGATTTACTCCAATTCCTTCTTGCCTTGTACAAGCCACATCCTGACAAATATTCCTCTGTGCTTATCCCTTTAACAAGGAGGTTCTTTCCAACCTTCCTGTTACCGGAGGGGATTCACCACAATGTGAACATCGGGAGCTTTGAGGCAGTTTTAGGTTCCTGATTTTCCTTCCAGGTCCTTCTGGGTGGGTGACTTTTGTCCCATGTTTGTACAGCTCCTGGGATTCTGGCCATCATGGGGTGCCTTGGCAGGGGTACAGGATTAATAGAAGTGACCAGTGCAAGGGAAGGAGATTGGATCTCCTAAATCATCCACTCCTTCTAAAGGTGGTCCAGCCACCTGGAATAACTCCAGCACAGAACAGGGGGCTGTGTGGGAGGAGTACCTTGGAGGAGGAGGTGTGTTATGGACTCGCACTTTCACTTCCAAATACTTGGATGACTTCTCCCACCCCAAGGCAGTTTTCTTACGAACTAGACCCAGCAAACCAGACCCTCTGGATCTGGAGGGCTCTGGAGCTGCCACACTCCATGGACACTGCACAGCCCTCCCCACCTCCTTGCATAACTCATTTGGGAAGGGAAAGCAGGGTTAAGCTTCTGCTTAAAGTCAAGGCTTTAGGAAAATAGACCTAATCCCAGCTCTAAGTGTTATAACACTTCAGGCCAAGCCTGGAGGTGTTTCCTGGAGTGTGCTGGGCCAGTGCCTTGCTGGAATTGCAGCCTGGAGACTCCATTCCCACTGGAGGGGATGGGCTGTAGGGATGGGCTGTAGGGCTGGGCTGCATCCCCCACCATGTGCCACATGCATCCTATAGAATCATAGGATCATTAAGGTTGGAAAAGACCTTCAAGAGCATCAAGTCGAACCTCGTGGACACAGGGAGCCTCACCCAGAAAATCTGGGCATACCCAACAACCATGAGCCAGCTAAACTCTTCCTACAGCAATTCCAGCTGGTACTTCACAGTTTTTCAGTTAAACACTTTTTTAGAAAATATGCTGATAAGAAACACTGATTTGCCAGCAAGTTTTGGTGTCTTGTCCAGCACTTGGTAAGGGGACTGGAGCACCTCCCCTATGGGGACAGGCTGAGAAAGCTGGGACTGTTCACCCTGGAGAAGGGAAGGTTGTGTGGAGACCTCACAGCACCCTCCAGGTTCTGAAGGGGCTACAGGGAAACCAGAGAGGGGCTGTTCAACAGGAACTGGAGTGACAGGCCAAGGGGAGTGGGTACAAACAGAAAGAGTAGATTTAGAATAGATATTTGTGAGAGACCCAAGTGCTGTTTCACAGCTACGAATAAAGGGAGAACTGGACCCATTTTTCTTTCTCTGACTTTACTGTACTTACATCAAGGCACAGACATGCTAAACTTCATCACACAGCTCCTGGTGACATAACTCCACGTGCTTGAGAGACAGGAGAAGGTGTCACTGAGCTCTGCTCGTCGGCTCTATTGGAGGCCGCCAGGCCATACACATTCCATGCAGACTATCCGTGTGCTCCAGCGGCTGCTCGGAGGAGTTCCCGACCTCACGAGGGTTGGTCCTGCACCAAGGTACTTGGCTCTTGCTCTGTAGCACCAGGGTTTTTCTCAGGGGTCCTGGAAGCAGAGAAAGAGCATCATTGCAAAGCTGTCAGAGCGATCAGCTGGTGACGACAACACGGGGTTTGCCCCGTGCCCAGGGGCCCTGCAGTGCCCCCCAGGCACATGTTTGGTGTGTCCTCAGGCTGCTTGGTGAGGCTGGTCCTGGGCCCTGCAAGGAGCTGCTCCAAAACTGGGAAGGCTGGGGCTCTGGACTCCTTGTTGAGCTGTGAGCAGGACCATACCCACCATCAGCTCCAAAACGTGCTTGCCAATTGATTATAACCTGCCTGGAACGGGTTTGACACCTTGCTGTGTGACTGCCCCCCAAAGCAGCAGCTTGTTCCCCTCGAGGTGGGTGCTGGAAACCCTGTCCCGGGGGAGCCAAGTTCTTGTGCTGCTCAGGAAGGACCTGGCTCCTCTCAAAACAACCAGCCCTCTCAAAACAAGCCCAGCCCACATATCCTAACCCCAGTGTGAGAGTACCTCTCCTCTTCCATGCCCCCAGGAGACACCAGGGGGTGAGGGCTGATCCATCCAGGCCCTGGATGCCTGCTGGGATCAGCTCTGGAGCCAGCCCTGTACCTGAGGTGCTGGAGGAAAGGCTGGGTCTTGCAGAAGCGCAGAGGGAGGGATGGGGAAAGGAAAGAGCTGCAGGGAACAAGGGAATCAATCTTCATTAGGAGAGAGAAGGAGGATCTGCAGCGATGAGGAGAGAGGTGTGATGGATGGGGAGGGATCTGTGAGGCTGCAGGAAGGCAGAAAGCAGATGGAGAGGCAGGAGAAACCTGCCTGGCTTTCAAATGGGCAGCTTTACACGGTGGTTGCATCAAGGCACTGTGGAGATGCCCATTCACCCCCCAGCCCGACGCTGTCTTTGGGAATGGTTCCAGCTCAGAGGAGGGAAGGAGGTGCTGACACCATGGCCAGGAGGCCAGGGGCTGGTGACCATCTCCTTGGCCCATGAAACCAGCCCAGCCCAGACACAGGAGTCCAACCACTCCTGCAGGAGAGGCTCGTGGGGCAGCACCATGTGGAGGAGCCTGGCAGGACCATGTGGAGGAGCCTGGCAGGACCATGTGGAGGAACCTGGCAGGACAGCTCTCCCTCAAATCCTCACCCTGGCCCTACCCTGCGTGCTGACCACGAGGAGCCCTTTGCTGCCAGAAGCTGTTGGCAGAGGGTGGGAGGAAATCTTGCTGAGTTCTTTCCAGTTCCTATGGGCTTGAGGTGAACCCAGCACCATAAATCAGAGGATTAGGGGAAAATGCTCAGGCTGTCCTGTGCCAGTGTGTATGTGATGATCCAGGCTCAACAGGATCCAGGGGAGCCAACGCCTCTCCCTTGGTGTCCAACCCCACTCTTTCTGCTGCCCTGCATTTCAGAATAGAGCTTGGAAAGCAAAAACAGCTCTGAAGCAACATAAACTCTCTGTCATCCATCAACATTTTTCCTGAGCCCTTGCCAGAGTCACCAGGGGACTTCTCAGCAGCACTGGGCTGGTCCCTCTCTGCCGAGGCTGAAAGCTGGTGCATGCAGTGTATGTTCTTCATTTTAATCTACTGGCTCTCTTCCCGTGACTGGCTGCATCCTTCAGCCATGGATTTCAGGCTAAGACCCAGCCTCCTGGAGAAGAAAGAGTCTGCATCCCATCCCCATCCCCATCTCCATCTCCATCATCTCCACCTCCATCCCCTGGTTTCCTATTTGTTTGCACTGGATACAGACAACTGTGTGACTGTCTGTCCCAGTAAAGCTCATTCCAAACTGGGAGGAGTGTGAGGAGGAGGTGATTCCGGTTTTGTCTCCAGGGCCACCAGAGGATGCAGAGCAGGACCAGCCCTGGCTGCTCTCTGCGGGGCTGCACAGCGAGGTCTGGCTCTTGGCAAGAGGGAGCTGGGAGGGTGCAAGGCAGCATTCCAGCCTTGCTCTGCACCCCAGCAACCAGAGGGGCTGCTGTCACTGCACAGCTTGGGGGAGACCTGGAAACCTGCCCCAGTTTGGGGCCAGCAAGGTCTGGAGGAGGAGAAGGTGCCTGGTTGTGAGATCTGAGCTGACGGAGGTGTGAGGTGAGCAACAAGGACCTCAGCCCTTCGGAGTTCAAACCAAGGTCTGCCTGCAAAGCAGCAGATAGAGAAGCTCTTCCAGAGCTCTCCTGGCACAAATCTAGGTGCCAGAAGACTTCAGTGGACCCCCAAGGTCAGCTGGGGACCTCAGTGGCATATCTAGTCCTGGCCTGGGATGGAGGAAGCAAATGTTCAGGGCACCTTCTGAGCCACAAGAAACCTCCTGGGTATCCATCTCTGGAACATGCCAAGCCAGCTTCTGCTGCTTGCCCTGGGAGATGCATCTGCTTGGGCTTGCACTGACACACTTGTGCCCGCTGTTCTCTGTCCCAGAGCAATGACGTTCCTTTACCATCAGCTGCTTCTGCTCTGGGCTACAAGAGTTCTCCTTCACTCTCCTCGCCTGCTGCATCTGTTGAGCCACCTGGCAGCACAGGACACCTCTGCAGGGAGCTGGAGGAAGGCCAACCTCTTTATCAGATGCACCAGGGTGGCAAAGGACAGGAGGTGCTGCAGCTCCAAGTGTGCCAGCAGAGCTCGTCCCTGGGGCTGTAAAAGAGAGAAACAAAGGTACCAGAGGACAAAAGCACGAGCAGAGTGACCCCAAAAGACTGTGGGGAGAGAGGCAGCAGTGAGAACAACTGCTCCACTGGCCACAGGGACAGACACACGATGCACTTGCAGACACATCCAGTGAAGCCACACCAAGAAAGGAGAGAGAGAAGGGGCAGTCGGTGGGTGAGGTATCGTTTATTCCAAGCAGTGGGTGAGATCACCCGGTACAGGCAGAGACAAAGGCTTTACAGTCCAAGAGACAGCACACGAGACACTCGCTGCGGGGAACGGGAAGGACAAGGCTCCTGCTGGAGCTGGGAATTCAGGATGGTGTGCAGGGGAAAGGTGCTCAGGGGGAGAAAGCACAGGGTTGGAGAAGCAGCTGTGGGACAGGCAGGGAAGAGCTGGCAGGGATGAGGGAGGGGAAATGATTTTGAAGGCAAAAAGGAACAGCACCATGGGATCTGGCAGGGGTGAGGGCACTGCAGGTTGCAGGGGCAGGAGCCAACAGGGCCAGGGGTGTGTGATCAGCAGTGGAACTGGGGGAGAGGGGCGGGAGCAGAGGCAAGGGGGGCAGGGACATGCAGTGTCCTGTGGCTCCTAAGCATGATCTGTGTCAGGAAATCAAAGGTTCCTTGCTCGTGTCCCTGCTGATAAATCACAGGACAACACAATGGTCTGGAAGGATTTCAAGATCATCCAACGCCCCTGCCACGGGCAGGGACACCTTCCACTATCCCAGCTTGCTCCAAGCCCTGTCCAACCTGGCCTTGGACACTTCCAGGGATCCAGGGGCAGCCACAGTTTCTCTGGGCAAATCCCTTGGCTCCAAACAAGGTGGCCACAGCTGAGTTTGTCTTCAGTTGGGTCCTAAATCCTGAACCAGCCCAAGGAGCAGCTCAGTTCAAAGGCCAGGGGCTACTCTCCATGTTTCCCTATCCTGACCGCCTGGTCCTGGCACCACCATATTCTCCTGGGTGCTGTTTAACTGATAAAGACAGACCCACCCTCCACCCTGTGTCATGCCTGGTGCTCCTCACCCTCTGCCAGGAGCCAGCTCTCCAGACCCCTCCCAGAGCCAGGCAGGACGTGCAGGTCTCCCCAGGAGGACACAGGAGACCCAGCTTTGCTCAGGGGCTTGGGGCTGCTGCATGCCACAGGCTGGGGCAGGGTGGGCAGGGGACAACAGGGAGGGGGCAGAAATGCTTCCCCCTTCCATCTCTCACACCACTGAACGCACTGAAGGCACAGTTATCATTCCTCAGGGCTCTCACACGTCACTGAGGTCTGTCACTGCTCCTCATCCATCATTTTCCCGGTGGCTGGTCCTTGGCTTCCCTGGAGCAGACTGCCTGCAGGGAGGGCTGGCCTTTTAGGAAGCAGAAAGATGCCTTCAATCCATTAGCAGGATTTTCTTTCATCCTTGCCTCACATCTTCTCCACAGGACCGTCAGGATTAGGGAGCTGTTCCCGAGGCACCCTGCAACAGAAATGAGGTGTTCACAAGCAGCTCAGAGTTCCTGACAGACCAGCAGTCCTGAGGTGCTCAGAGCTCTGTCACCCCCATCCCACACCCCCCAGCTTGGGAGCAGACCCAGTGGCACTGGGGGGATTGCTCCCAGCCCAGAAAGGTCACGGGTACAAGGACAATTCCCCAGTGGGATCAAACTTACCATGGCACTGCTGGAACCAGGCAGAGCTGAAGCCCATGTCTGAACATCACAGTACTTCCCAGCTGTGGAAAAGATACTGTTCTTAGAGCTGAGCACATCCATATCATCCTGCTCATACTAGAGAATTTCTTCTTCCTGCATGGCTCCTCTTCTGGAGCTGATGCCACTCTTGGGGATGGCAGTTATTCCTTGGATGTTGGGAGACACAACTTATGACAGAGGCATCTTCTTAAAAAGTCCCTTTCTCTCCTGCACTGGCACATCTTTAAATAAACCCTAAATCCAGAGAATATTATGACACACAAGAGGCTGCATTTGTACAAGGGCTGACATGTCAGCTGATGAAACATCTGCACTCATCCTTTCACCAGCCAGGGATGTAACAACGATCACTGAGGTTTTCAGAGGAAGCTGAGAGATTTGGAAGTGTCAGCGCTGATAAATCTCAGTCCTGTGCCCAGGCTGGAATGGAAGGATGGGGAGTAACAAGGGGGAACTTCCCCATCCCCCCATGCACAAGGATCCCAGGTGTGCACACAGGGTATGTAAAAGCAGTTCATTAACACGGGAAGGATGGAGGCCACTCCTCGTGGGGCTGCTCAGGGCAGGCAGGGTGACACCTCTGCAAAGCCACGCTCAGGTCACAGCATTATTTAGGCTGGAAAACACCTCTAAGATGCTCTGTTATCAAGAGTTCGAGAAGAAGACTTTTGGCTCTTTAAATTCCAGTTATTCTCCCCCTCGTTGTCCACTCCCCCAGACCCCAACACTGACCATTAGGGTGGGAGCAGGTGGGGTCCCCATCCATGCTGCAGCATGGAAAAGCCCCTGGACCTTTGTGTCATGGGAGAAACATTTCTTTGGCCATTATGGAATTGTCACAGACAATCCCCAAGAATGACAGATCCCTTAAAAATGAACATTTTCTCCAGTACCAGCTGTGGAGGGTGAAATGGTAAATCCCCTGACCTACAGCCCAGCTGAAACACTGCAAAGGTCACCCAGGGGTGTGTGGCTGATGGATGGATGGAGCTGGTGGGGAAGGGGACAGGGAAGGCAGGGTGGTACAGCAGGACATCAGAAAGCAGCACTGGTATCAGCAGGTGGAATAAATTCAGGCAGTGATCTGTAAACCAGGCAGGGATGTGCAATAGCCCCCAGCAGCAGTAAGGCAGAGAAGGGTTGGTGCTCCAGGGAGGTAACAGAGCTGTGCTGGAGGAGAGATTTCAGAGTTATAGACCTTTAAGACCATCTAGTTGCAAACTCCCTACCATGGGACACCTTCCACTAGACCAGGTTGCTCAAAAATACAATAGTTTTCCTCAGGTCAGTGGGGATTTTATTGGAGCGTCCATTAAAAGAGAAAATATGACTAAAAATCAAAATTGCAGGCTAATTAAAAGAAAAAAAGATTAGGGTCACCACTTAAAATAAAATTGTGCCCCCAGCCCTGCTTTTTCACAACCACCATTTTCTCCAGATATCCAACACTTTCATTAATATAAAACCAGAACTCAGCGTTTCCACAGGCTCTCAAAGTGCTCAACCCAAGAACTCACCACCTCCTTTCAGCGAGGGTTTACAGCCCCTTGACCCCTCATGGGCTTTTCAGGTGGTTTCCACAAGAGTCCCAGAATGGTTTGGATTGGAAGGGACCTCAAACCTCATCTCATTCCAACCCCCTGCCATGGGCAGGGACACCTCCCACTAGACCAGGTTGCCCAGGCTTGGTTTTGGGAGAAAAGCAAAGCTGTAGGCAGTTGGAAAGGTGTCATTAACATTGGAAAAGGGTGTGCAATCATCTCATCCACATCACCTCCCCTCCCTCCAGCTCTCTGTGGGGTTTGCTCCCTGAGCCACTGAAGGTGGGCACGAGAGGGCTCAGCAGGGCTCTCACTTCACAGATGCTCTGCTCACAGACATTTCACATGGAAAATAAAGGCAAACCTGCTCCAACCACACGGCTTCACTGCCCTCTGAGTGCTCCAGGCTAGTCTGGGGTAAGCAGCCACCTAAAGGGAGCCAGGCTGTGCCTACGGAAGGGAACTGCCTATGGAAGGGGCAGCTCTAACAACACAAGCCTGATTTCAGTTGGAAGGGCGTTTCTTTCACTGAACTGTGCTTCTTATCGAGAAAACAAGCTCCAGGAGGTGGTATTCGTCTTCAGCATTTATTTATCATTGGAAAAAGAACCCTTTGAGCAAGCAAAGATCACAAGCACGTCACAATCAATTGGCTATACATTAATTTGTGTGTGTGTGTGTGTGTGTGTGTGTGTCACTCTCATCAGAACAGCAACAAGGAGAAAGCACCACGAGGAGGTGTGCTCAACATGTTTACAAGAGACAATCCGTGATATGCAACCAAACCCAGGCCACAAAATATTAATTAGACACTTCCTATCTGCCTCCAAGAGGCGAGAGTTTGTGGAATTCGTGGGTGCCAGGTCTGCACACCCAGCAGATGGAGAAGCAGGTGATTGGTGTGCGAAGCGTCAGGGAAACAGGAGCTCAGTCAGCAAATTAGCACCATTTTGCAGAAAGGAGTAACAGTACAATACAGTGAAAATGCAAAAGCAAGCAACAGACAGCACAGGAACTCTCACACAGGGTAAAAAGCAAAACAATTTTTTTTTTCTTTCTTTTTTTACAAGGAAAGCAGAACATAATTACAGATCAGCATCGTGGGAGCTGCAAACACAGAACAGCAGAGCAGTTTCCCAGCGGGATCGACAAGCTCAGAGCCCAAAGTGAACTTGGAACGGCAGAGATTTGGTCTCCTTTCTGATAAACCTGAGTGGGTTGGATGGGCACAGAGCCTGGGGAGGGCAGAGTGGGCAGGGTTTCCCCCTGAGGCTCGGCTCTGCTGCGTTTCCTGGCGTTCAGTGCAGTGCTAACTGTGTGCTGGGGGGGGGTTGGATGCATGCTGAGACCTGCTGCACATGGAGCACAGCCCAAGGATGTCTATCCCAGTTCTGTTGCTGTTGAGAGGGGGGTCTCCAGGCCCTACCAGTCTCCCAGAAAAAAAACCCTCCAAGGACCATTCAGGTGGCCAAAATAGGCGGCTCGATGGCCCTTGGGAAGTTCCTTCCTAGGGTGGGAATTTGGACCCCTGGCTAACACTCCACACCTGGCTTTGTACTGAGCTCATGGAATGGTTTGGGTTGGAAGGGCCTTAAAGACCACCGAGATCCAAGCCCCCTGCCACCAAAAAACTTCATGTGCTAAGGAACACCAAGCCATGCTGTGACCACTCACTGTGCACGTTCCACTCAGACACTGGGATGGATGCTCTCCATTGAGAAGGAGCAATCCCAGAGCTCATGGAGGTTCAGTCGATCCAGAGTCATGGAGACGCTTTGATTAGGTGGTCTGAGCACCTGAATCATGTTCCTTGGGCAAAATTTAGTTAACCTTGAAGCCAAGGGCTAAATTCCCCCTGAACTCAAGGCGAGACGGTGGCAAAGCGTGAACGTGTCCCTTTCAATGGGACACTCGGGGCCAAAAATAACAGGGACAACTGTTTGGTGTGGTCTGTCCTTCTGTCAGATTGGTGTGTTGGGCTACTGGGAACTGTCTAGTGCCTTCCTGACGTGTCCTGCCTGCTGTGACACATCATCTTCAGGGCTGGTGCCACATCCTGCGACAGCAGAGGATGCTACTGAGGAGTGGGAAGATGCATGAAGCACCTCAAAAGCCAAGGAATCACACCGAGCCTTGGGAGCTTCTCTGGCCAGTTGTCCCTTGTGGGTGGGAAGAGCTGTGAGCACACTCTTCTCCCCCAGCTCAGTGCTGGAGACAGAGCTGAGCTGCTGCAGGGGCTTCTGAGCACTCAGGAAAGCAATGGTCAGTATGCACAGGTCAGCATCTCCATGAGGGCATGCACATCAAAATTAAAAGAAAAAAAAAAAAAGCACTACATTCACAAAGATTTCCACAGTTTTACTTCCTGGAGGATTTTCCCTGGTTTCCTCCCAAACAGCGGAGGTTTAAATATATATATATATTTCTATATATGAATATATATTTTCCACAGACACAACCTGACTAGCTCATAGCACACAGTTCTAACACAGCTAAGCTTTGGAAACACACCACTGGGTTCAGAACACTACACTCACTGCTACTCGAAGGGTTAGGCTGTCAGCAAGGCAAACAGGACACGTCACACGACACACTGAACGTGGCACTTACTCAGCACTAAGGCCAGCAAACCTCACTACCTGTACAGCACAGAGCTTCCCTCCCCTTGGGAAACTCCCTCGCAGCCTTGCAGCCCACCACTCATTTATGTTTCCAAAAAAAACCCCAATCCTGATGGGGTGAGACCCCAAAAGTGGGACTCCTCATCCTCCCAACACATCCCTTTCTCTGTTATGTTTCACATCCCTAAAACACCCTGGGCAGTGAGACTTTCCTCATCCCAATGCCTCCCTACCCTACCTCCCACCTCTCTCTCCGTCCTTCCCAACTGTCCTCCGGGAGTTTCACGCTGGACTTCACGTTAGGAGAGAAATTTTGGGGCTGCCAAAATAAAAAATGAGAACCCTGCACCTTGACTTGAGGCCTCTCTGCTACGGGAGAGTTCAACAGCTCAGTTTGGTGGGATCAAGGTAAGTCCTCATGTATTTAGGACCCAATCCAGGAGTTAGGCACAATAAATTTGGATTGGGACCACAGCTCTCCCAGCTCCCACTGCTGCAGTGACCCAGGTTCTGGGGGATGCAGGGCCAGCCTGTTGGGCCAGGTCACACTGCTGACAAATGGTCCTGCCGTGTTCAGAGCTTCCAAACTGGGCTGTGGGGATTTCCTGCAGTAAGGGCACAGTAAATAGGATTGGAACCCTGAGATCTTGTCTGGAGGGACTCTAGGGATCCCAGCATCTTTTTCTGTGGCCCTCTTGGGATGCTTATGAGCCCACGTGAACCCCAGCAACCGGAAGGGTCAGCACAGCAGGGGCCGACAGCTCCAGCCGACCTCGGTGACACGGTTCTTTCTACCTCTTGGAAAGGCACCCCTGCAAACCAAACCTCCTTCTGAAACCTAACTCTGCCTGCTGGCACCCCAGGAGTGAAAAAAGCAGACCAAGATTCCAACCAAACCGGGAATAACTAAAAAGGCCCATAACCTGGGGGAAACAATAGGGAAGAACAACCTGCTGATAACCCCGTCTAACCTGCCAGGGGCTTGGAAAGTCTTCACTGCTCTCTGTGCCTTCCCTCACTCATTTTTTTATTTAAAATCAAGGACTTCAAGTGGTTTTGAGGGTGAAGGTGCCTTGATGCAGCTGGACCTGCCCCCAACTACCCTGGGGGAGGATTTGGCCCTTAATTTCCACGGGATCTCCTTTCCCGTTGCTTCTTGGAGCAGAAATCCCACCAGTGCCACCAGGGGGAATCACTCTCGGCCACACCACTGGTTCTGGTGGATTCCCAGCAGACCCATACCACTGGTTCTGGTGGATTCCCAGCAGACCCATACCACTGGTTCTGGTGGATTCCCAGCAGATCCACACCACTGGTTCTGGTGGATTCCCAGCAGATCCACAGCACCATGAATGAACCTGATCCTCTCTGCCTCCAAAACCCTTCACCCGCCGGCACCAGTGGGAGACGACCCAACAAGGGCCAACCCAAAAGGGCCTCCTGGGATGAGAGCAGAGCCCTTTCGTGGCTCCACGGGCACTTCCACGCTGGCAAAGCCCTGAAGGACCAGCCCAAGGAAAGGGCCAGGCTGTTGGATGCAACCATGATCCATCACCTCCATCTCCTACGCCCTGCTCGTGCATTCCCACGTCCCTCACTCTGTGCAGAGCCGTGTTGTGCAGGCAAAGCAGAACAACCTGACCTCAGAAACAAGGATTCCCTAATCCTCCTTGGAAATAAAACAGAAAAGCTTCTAATACAATCAGAACAAAAAGCAGATTAGAAGCCTCTAATTAATTTTGTGGCCTTTATTTAATCAAATGGGTGGGAGGGGGGCAAAAAAAGAAGGAAAAAAGAAAGAAAAGGGGAAAAAAAAAAACGAGTAAGAAAGGAAAGTGCAGTGACATTTACTCTTTTGCCTCAGCCAGTTTATTGTTCATCTCTTTACTTTTCTCCTTGTCCTCTGGCTTTGCTGTGTTGGAGGTCTCGGCGCTCTTTTTCTTGGCAGCCCGGCCAGATGCAATCTGCTTGTCTTTGGCCTTTTTCAGGGGTTTATGGCTTGTTGTGGTCTTTTTTGGTTTGGAAGGCTTTATGCTAGGCTTTTCCACCTGCATGGAGGACAGGCAAAACGACAACAGACAAGGAGAGAGAGAGACAGAGACAGAGACAGAGAGACACAAGGACAGGTGGAAAACAGGATTTAGATCAGAAACAGCACAAATGTTCCTCGTCCGCTCAGCTCTGCCTTGCCACGAAGGAGGGGAGCAGCTGGGCTCATGCTGGCTTGCAAATGGCCAGCTCCTTTGCTGATGCCCTGAAGCCACAGAGCCCCTGGAGCCAGCAGAGCCTGTTGCATCCAGATCAGGACACAGCAGGATGAACAGGAGAGGGAATATTATCAGGCATTTTAGCAATTCCCTCATCTCTCTCTGACTTCAGGAAGGGCTTCGCAAGCCCACAGGGGATTGTCTCTCTCTGGGCTGGAAGCAGAGAAATGATGCTCAGGACAAAGAGGCTGCTACAAATCCCCGCCCTTCCTGCGGGACAGGACTCCTCTATCTGTTCTTAACAGATTCCCACAGCACAGGAAAATTCCTTGGGGATACCTGGGGCACAGGACACTGACTGGCACCTGGAGAAAAGTGCACAACAGCGTCTTGTTTCTGCAGCCCCCAAAATAGGAAGAACAGCTACAAACTTAAGGAGGAACAGAAGCCTTTAGCTCCTCCGTGCCTGCCCTGCCACCCCTCTGGGTCCTCACAGATCCAACACTCCTGAACTCTGGGAAGGACTAATGGTCCTGGTTTCAAATTGCAGGCTCCTTTCAAATGCAGATCCACCACTGCTCCTGGAAAACAAGGCTGGAAGACATTTCAGCTCAGGCCCTTCTCCACACATGTCCTGGGTCTGATCAAAGCCAGGAGTGGGTACTGTCACTCTCTGTGCTCTGAATTAACTGCAGATGAGGATCTGGCTCTTACCATGTTGTTCCTGGGAAAAAGAGCAATGTGGAGTTCCTATAGTTTTAGAGGGAGAAACAGAAAGCTGCCTAGATAATCATGTGGGAAATGACAACACAAAACCCTCTTCATCTGGGCCCTGCCCTCACTCCTCAGTTTGACACAGGGCACTATTCTCTCCAAAGTGCACCGAGCTGTTCTAGAGCCCATAGGATTAAAGGATGGTTTGGATTGGAAGAGTCCTTAAAGACCATCTATTTGCAACCCCCTGCCACGGGCAGGGACACCTTCCACTAGCCCAGGCTGCTCCAAGCCCTGTCCAACCTGGCCTTGGACACTTCCAGGGATCCAGGGGCAGCCACAGCTTCTCTGGGCAACCTGGGCCAGGGCCTCCCAACCTCACAGCCAACAATTCCTTCCCAATATCCCACCTAACCCTGCCCTCTGGCAGTGAGAAGCCATTCCCTGTGTTGTCCCCAGTCCCTCTCCAGCTCTCCTGGAGCCCCTTTAGGCCCTGCCAGGGGCTCTCAGCTCTCCCTGGAGCCTTCTCTTCTCCAGGTGAACCCCCCCCAGCTCTCCCAGCCTGGCTCCAGAGCAGAGGGGCTCCAGCCCTGGCAGCAGCTCCGGGGCTCCTCTGGACTCTCTCCAGCAGCTCCACGTCCCTGTGCTGTTGTTCCCCAGGGCTGGAAGCAGCTCTGCCCCCACCCGAGGGGGCAGAGGGGCAGAACCCCCCCCTCCCCTGCTGCCCACGCTCCCTGTGGGACCAGCCCAGGGCACGGGAGGTTTCTGGGCTGCCAGAGCACGTGGCCGGGGCACGTTTAGCTCTCCCTCCACCACCAGGTGCAAGGTGGATCCCCAGCTGGCCAGAAGGAAGACGCCCCAGGAGGGGTCTGAAGGCAGCGTGTCCAGCCCTGCCCTGTGGGTTGGACGTGTCCCCCCGGGCCCCTCACCTTGGGAGGTTCTTTGTAGGGCTCGCTGTAGAGGGTGCGTATCCTCCTGCGCTCCAGGTATTTGTTGTCCGCTGGAGAAGGCTTGCTGGTTTCCCCCTTGAACTGGGCGCTGTAACTGGTCTCGTGGATCATCTTCTCCTCCGGGGGTTTGTACTGGGGCTTGGCCCGGATCGCTTTCACCGGCTTGACGTCGATCCAGGGCCGGAACTCGTTCCTGAGGGGTCAAAGGGAAGCAGGTTCAGGGATCCAGCAGTGGGTGGAATCCCACGTTGCTCAGCGACATAGAAACAGGCTCCTTTTTTACCTCACCCAAAACCCACCGACAAATTACGAGGAAGTGAAAAGAAACATGGTCTGTTAACATCAGCCAGCCCTGGGCACCCCTCGGCCACGCCTGTGAGGACAGAATTGTGTGATTCCACCTGTACTGCACCAAACTGTGCTCAGCAGTTCAGTTAATCCCATACTAACAGATAAAATATTGGGATAAACAGGTAAATAATCAAGAGAAAGCTGTCTTAGATGCACAGTCTGTCAGGTGGAGCTATGGCTTCTCTTTATTAGCTCACAGTGAATTCCTGAGTTACAGGAAAAAAATAACCCCATCTTTCATTTCTTTTGGACAGAGCTGCAACCTTTTGGAGGAAGAAAACCCAAACATGCTTGAAAGACTTTTAACATCTGCTGGACACGTTCCACAACCTCCTTCTCTTGTTTTTTCCAGTTCTTCCCAGCACAGCACCAACATCTGCTCAGTTTTGAAGCAAACCCTTTCATTTTTCTCTCTAAAAATCTATATTCATCTGAGAATGGGGATGGAGAGACCCAAATGTGTTGGTACCTTGCAGGGGTTGTGCTCAGACACAGCCCAAGGCAGTGTTTAGGTCCTTAAAACTCCAGTGCAAGCCAGGAGTTATCCCAACAGTGGTGACAAAAGCCCTCTGCAGAGGGGTGAGTTTTCCTTGGAAATCCCAGAGTTTGGTTTGGGAATGGTTTGGGTCGAGAGGGACCTTAAAGCTCATTTCATTCCAACCCCTTTTCATTTTCTTGCCTTAATTTCAGGGCTTCTGAGGCAATGGGATCTCTGAGCTGCAGACCCTGCCCCTCCTGCCCCGTTCCATGTTTTTGGGCTGTGTTACTCATTTTCAGCCCGGATTATGAGGGAAATGAACTCTGTGTGAGGGTACTGCCAGTCAATCCCTTCCCATAATAGCTCTGAACATCTTAATCAGCTTCAACCAAATTTGACAAATGGGCATGGGGTTATTCAGCTTTCCCTTTTACGAGGATAAGCAGCTGGAGCGAGTCCAGGGGCTCAGGAAAGCTTCAGTTTGGACATGCACACATCACCAGAGGATGCTCAGACAGGGCTCCAGAAGGTCATCCAGTGCCCTCAGGGACTGGGAATCCAGGATCCTTTCCATGTGCAGGATCAGGGCAGCTCCCTGCCTGCTCACTGCTACACTTCTCATTCCCACAATCCCTCAGGAAAATGGGAAACCCCATTTCTCTTCCAAGGGAACTGCTGCCTGCAGGATGAGCTCAGTGCCTCTCTGGGCTCTGTTCATGGATGGGAAAGCAAACATGGAGCACGTGTGAGATACTCACAAATACCCCCCCGGAAGTTGGTATTGTTGTCTCTGAGCCACATCCCAGCTCCTACTCTCCATCCTTAGTGTTGCTTCTACCTACATTGACTTTTTATTTTACCTGTATTTCCTAATTTCTCTCCCTCTTTCCTCTTCAGCCCTCCCTGGGCTTGGACAATGCTGCCAAAGGCAGGGATGCTCCCTCTTTGAGGGATGCTGTTCCTCAGGAAACCACTGCACTGAATGAGCAACACGTGAATTGAAGGCTTTTCCATTTGAAAAAAACCATTCCATTCCCATTTGAAGACATTCCCAATAGAAGACTTTCCCATTCATTTGTCCACAGGTATTTCTCTGCAGCCCATTGTTAAAATATCCCTCCTGCATGACGGGTTTGGAGAGAAAGGAGGAAGAAACACGTTTGAAGAACTGGATTAAAGACATGAATATATGACTGACAAACTGCTCTCCAGGGCTTGCAGAGGAGCAGAAGGAGGACACAATCTCAAACCATTTACTACAGCTACATCTGATGCTCCAGGATATTTATGTCACTCAGAGATGTTGTATCATAAATTTAAATACTCCTTATATGCAGCAAAGAAGTGAGGGGAAAACCAGCAGCTTAAAAAGTTAATTATTTTATTTTTTTTCTGTATTCTGAGAATAGTAAAATAGTAAAAACATCTGTTTGCTCCTGTAACACTAAAACTAACTCTGGTTTGGAGAGAGATCCTGCACTTGAGAGAATTCCCTCATCACTGCTTAACATCCTGAGGCCAACTGGTGGGGAAGGTGCCCAGAAGTTACAAATTCCTTTTTCAACCCGAAACAAGCCCTGAAAACATTATTTCCCCCCCTGTTTTCAGAACAACAGGTCATGCTGGTGTCCGGACCACTGGAGAATCCTGCACACCAAATCAGCTCTCAGAGTGTGCCAGACCCCATCCTAACAGAGCTCAGCTCCCAGCTCACCTAACCCTGAGCAAAGGCCTCTGTGAGGCAGCAGGGATGAGCCATGGACCAGCTCCAGGCTGGATGTGTCCAACAGGCACAGCTCAGCCCAGCTCTGGAATTCTTTATCTCCGGGATTGTCACGGCTCTTCGTTTTGCTGAGGAAGATTTGAAGAGCTGCTGCTGGTCTTGGCAGGAAACAAAGGGCCTGGACTGAAATAGCAGCAAATTACAGCTCTCCTAATTCTGTGCCTGGCTCTGGCCCCAGCCTTACAAAGAATAATTAGAATTAGTGGGGAACCCAGCGCCGACCTGAAACGGAACTGGAAATGAAACTCAGCAAAAAGGAGAATATGAGGCACCAGACGACCAAGTTCGATGGGGAAAATCCCCAGGGCAGCTAAAGAGAGTATATCCAGGAGAACTTTGGGCTGTGCAGGATGGGGCAGGTGCCTTGCAGATCCTCCAGGACCACAGCAGCCTGGGGAGGTGGGGCCTGATCCACGTCCATGAAAGCCAGGACACATCCACATCCTGTCCACATCCACCAGTGGACACCACACTGCTCCACCCACCCCTCAGTTCATTTGAACTGCATTTCCCCCTGGCTGGGTATGGCTGCAGGCAGGGGAAGGTGACCTGAATCCCCTCCATGGGACACTGGGGCTGAGCTGAGCTCCAGGCTGCCTCTGGAGATGCTCATCCAGACCCGTGTGGGCACGGATTGCCTTCATCTGCTGAGCCAGAGCAAAGCCAAGGGGGGGAAGGAAGGGGAGGACAGGGCCAGGCTTAACCACTTCAAGGCTTCCACCTCCTTTGGAGGGCTTTAAAGAGAGGCTGTGTTTGTTCAGCATCAGCACGGGGTGTTCAGGGGTTCTGCTGACAGCAGCTCCACCGGCACTGGGCCAGCCCAGTTCCCTTGTCCCAGTGTACAAAATAATGAATGGTGCAGAACTTCATGCTGGAGTCCTGCACAGAGGGGTATTTCCAGCTTAACCTGGAAAACCACAGCTCAGAGAAAAAAAGAAAAATATTCAGGTTTTTCACCAGGAAAAAAAAAAAAAATATGCTTTACAAAGTGTTAGGCCTGAAATGTTTAATTAATTCTAAAGAGAAAAGTTGGGGGGTTTTTCGGTTTCTTTAGTTCTTTCCCATCCCATTTTTTCCCCCTTATTCTACTCAGGACAACTCAAAGGGACTATGAACCTTCTTTTGAAGCAAAACACCAAAATGCTTCACAGATTGTATTTTAGAACATCACAGTTCTCTTTAATGTTCCTCTACCAAAACAGCAATGAAAAAACTAAGTAAAAAGTTTGTCTGGGATTTTCAAATTATTTTGCCTTTCTGGAATACAGTATCATTTGCTCCTAAATATCCTCCAGGTCCCTTATACCTGTTAATGCAGGAAAAGAGATGTTCAGTGACATGAAATAGTGGGAAACCTAAAATCAATGATAATGGTTGGTTGAACTCTGGAACTCAGTGCCAAAGGAGGACACTGAACTCCAGTAAATAATGAAGTTTAATTAAGTCACGGCTGTTTAGCTGGATATTGAGAGCATTCAGAGTTATCTTCAGCATTTAACTGTTCTCTAAAAACCATGGGCCAAAGCAGCAGTTATTCCATGGTGAAGGAATCTCCTCCAACCTCCCTCTGGTTGTGATCAGCCAAAGACACTGGACTGCCAGCAAATCCTGCTCTGAAAGGACTGCCCGTGTTTTGACCCTAAACTGTTCTCTTTCTAGTGTGAACAGAAAACATCCCATTGGGACTCCATATAAACAGGCTGTGCATCCTCCTGCAAACACCAGTGATTTTAAGGACAGGCCTGAGCAGTGGTCACCGCTCAGCAAGAGCCAAACTCTGACTCCCAACCCACTTCCAGCAGGAAAGGAACTGAGGTCCCTCATCCCAATTCCCATCCCAGCCTCCTTTAGTTAGAAAATCCAATTCCAACCCTCTCCTGCTGTCACTGGCCTGGCCAACACACCAGATCTGCCCCTGCCAGTGTCAGCACTGCCCTGTCCCTGCCTGTGCACCCAGTGCCCTGTCCCCAGCTCCTACATGGATGTTTAATGGCAGCTTTATCCTCTGCTGCCTGGGCTATTCTCTTGTGCACAATAATTTACTGTAAACTGGCACTGTCAATGGTATAAAGAAGCTCCTGGTGCCCAAGATAATTTTTTCCCCAAACATTAACAATCAACCTCTAAGACACACACACCCACACAAATAAACATATATATATATATATTTACACACGTGTACACAGAGCAAGTCAGTTTGGACGGGCCCATATCTAATTGTGTACTAAAACAAAGTGATATATATTAATGCAGGAATTGGAAACTTGGACAGTGGACAATGGAGTGAGTGTGAGCAGGATGGGGAGGGATCAGCATGTGGGAACATCCCCAAGCACAGAACTGGCACAGAAGAGGAGCAAAGTGCTGAGCCTTCAAGAAGGTGACTTTGGCACTGGCTGAAGGAGGTTATGAGCAAGACACCAAGATTAATGTCCTGGAAAGGATGAAGTCAAGTCATTTGGCAGAGCAGAACCATGCTGTGATCCATTTATAAAAACAGCTTCAGTCAGCAGCCCACAAATCATGGATATTGCCTTGCCTGAGGGCCATGGGCATGGACTTCCAGGGAGGAAGAATTAAT